CCGTTTCGGTGCACGCATTGCGCGGGACGAGCGGCGAATCGATTTATTAGAATAACGACCAGACGCCTTGCCTTTAAAACCAGGACGGCCCCTTTTTCGTCGCATAGGGCGATTTATCGTCATGGAATCGTAATCTTCAATTGTATCCGCGCGTCTAAGTGCCTGTGTACGCAAACGTTCGCCGTGAAACCGTGTATAGTCTAAAGTCCCGTTTTTATACATTGCCATTTCCGGAGTCACATCAGAGTCGTAGTCAGAGTTGCCTTGGGGGGTCTCTTCAAGCATTGACACTGAATTCTCCGAATCGGGTTCTTCACCACCAAAACCAAATTCATTATGAATATTATGGGAAGACGAGAGATGGCGCATGGAGAGCCGCGAAGTCGAATGGCTTAGACGGTTTTCAGCAAGACTCCGTAGAAACTGGAGTCTGCTCTTGCGATAGCGGGAGTTGTAGAGCTCCACAACGCGCGAATCTTCAGGGCGACGCAGCTGTTTTTGACAGTGGGCATACTCGTGATCCAAATGGGGAGCTGGAGTAATGAAGACCTCACCGCTTTCACTGCTACCCCCGTTGGCAGGACTTTGTTCACCACTGTGAGCACCCGCAGTTTCTTCGGGCTTGACAGCGGTTCGCCGGACCGCTGGTCCACCAGCTGGACCCTGCTCTTGGTCGGAGTCCAGTACATCGATCAATTCTTCCAGTGCTCCATCGGTTAAGTTGCAGTGGAGTAGTTTCAGTTTAGATAGAAGGCTCAGAGTGCTGCGGGAGCTGGACACACCTTGAGACTGTAACATGCGTAGTTGGCATGAGCGACAGGTGGGGGCCTTATTCTCCTTACAGTCGTTGCACATGCCTGAGAAACAAATAAGATATTTGTTAAAATACAAAGAGACACGTAAGCGCAAAGTGTGCAAATCTAGCTGTGAATAGGCGCACAAGTAAGTGCAAACCTAACAGGTTCCGCAAATTTTAACTTCCCTGGCGTTGGACGAAATCAGGCTGTAAATGTCGAAGGGGGGACAAAAAGACATGAATTAAACTATTACGGGGGTTGGCAGATTTG